TGTAAGAAAATATTAGTGCAGCTTGGAGTACCTCATTACCTGCATCTAGAATCTAATTCTAAAAGCCATGCTTGCCCAAACAAAATAGAAAAGTAATCCCATATGGCATACATGTCATTACCACCAAGTGACCACACACAATCACTAAATGCTTGAATCAAATTATTCATCAATAACCTAGGCACAGTCAATCACTTGGATAAAAAGTTCCTAATAATCTATAGAGCTGAAATAAAGCATTTTTGCTAGGGGATAAATGACAGAGAAAGGACTAGGATTTTTGTATTTCTATCATAGCTGTTTCTCTTCATATCCTTGATGCCACATATGTGTGCATGCGCGTACATACCGTGTAGTAGTTTTGGATACTAAGCTTGCAATTCAGGGTTAGCTTCTTATGTAAAGAAGAATAATAAGGATATTCCACTGGTTAGTTTGGGGTGTTTTACACATATCAAGAGAAGCAGTCTCAGTAGGAAATTATTTGGCAAGTCATTTGAATTTTTGGTGATTAGAGGATAAAGATCCCTCAAACACGAACTTGTATAAAACTTTAAAATTTTTTAAAAAGAATAAAAAAAGTTTTTTTAAACTTTTATAAAACACTCCATGTGCTTTAAAGAAAAAAATTAAAAATTCCAAACTTTATTTAACATGCAAAATGAGATCATTGGCTAAAAATTATTGAGAAACCAATGGGGAAAGTCTTGTAGAAAAGCAGCCCTTCCCTGGGATTCGTGTGGTGTCTTTTGACAAGTGGTTCACATGAAGGGACAACAGTGGGAACACCTAAAAATTATTATCAAAAGTCTTCAGTAAACACAGCTTTACATCACGGATATTTTTAACCTCCTGACTCCTGTTTGTGTTCTTTAAAGCAATGTCAGGGTCAAAGATGGAGATTGGTAGATGAGTTGTAGTATTACATCAAACAGAGCCTACGTAAACATACACAGAGCCTATGTAAACGTATACAATACTTGCACTTCGTTGATGTCCCGTGGCCCATCCAAAAGCATTGCCTGGTTGATTGACGTTGCCCTAAGTTATCATAATCTGTTCTAACATATGTTCATTACATTTATATGAATGAAATATGAAGGGACTGGTTTTTACGGGTCTACCTTTTGTGCGGGAGAACATCTGCTCAAGAAGTCTGCTTTAGCAGAGTTTTAGATTTCCTCAGTTTGACTGTAAAAAAGACAGCAAGAGAAAAAAGGCTCAGCCATCATTTAGAGTTGACTTGAAATCATAAAGGAAACAAAGCAAAACCACCTTCAAAATGTTTTATCATCCATGGGTATTTTTTGTTTATCTTTTGGTTATATTGGGTAATGGGTAAACTGGAAAAATCTGGCTTCTAAAAGGCTGCCAGCTGTTAGGAATTGCCCGAAAGGCTCAGATACTGCCAGGTGTCCCACAGCAAGGAAAAATATGCCCAAGACCTGAAAACATGGTGGTGCTTTGGAAGAGGGAGGTTCTTCTGAAACTCGCGGAAGTTTGGTGATGTAGGTCTGTACATCAGACACAGACTCTGCTCTCGCATGAAGTGTCTGTCTTTATCGAGTTACTTAAACATGATGGTAGTGAGTTAAAAAGTCATTTTTGAACGCATTTCACGTGTATCACTAAAAGCTGCTTCCCCTCGGTCCACGTCCATGTTTTTCAAGACAGACAAGCTGCAGGCAGGCCAGTGGCAGTCACTCTGCAGTACAGTCATTCCAGGAGCAAGCAGTTGACGTTAAGCAGTCAGTAGTAGAATGACCATCAATTCTGTTCATACCAAGCTATCTGAGACAGCAGCGAGATACACACAGGTAAGTGAATGAATACACGCATACACACATACAAATGCATAGCAGCTCTTCGGGTTATTGTCATTTTACAACTGGGTCTACTTCTCATCTGTAATTTTTTTTTCACATCTGTTCATGAAAGGGACTTTGTTTTGCATTGTTTTCTTTTTGTGAGGGAGGAAAGAAGACATATTTCTGTATATTTTTCACCTCACATTGAATAGGAAGAGAATCATGATTTTGTAAGACAGATGTACAAGAAAAAATAGAAATGAAAGGAGGAAAGAGCATTAGAGCTTGAAAGGTCTAATTGCAATGTTCTGCAGAAGCAGTCGCGCCCTAGGTCTTCAGTCAAAATTTGCTCCTAGTCAGGCATGTGAAGTCCATAGAATGCTTTTTAAATCTGTGAAATTAGTTTTGCCTAAAATGCTTAAAAATGCTAATGATTTTTTAAGGGCTGCCATCTCCTGTGTATCCAGATAACAATCCCTAAAACAACCTGAATTAAAAAAAAAAGATTAGATTAAGTAGTTCAGTGAAAATACCTCAGCTGTACAAGTCTGTAACCAATAAGAATACTTTTATGAACGGAGTTATGAATATAGGGGGTTAAAAATGCACTGTATTATGAATAAAACCTTTGGCATCAATGCCAGGAAGAGAAGAGTGAACGTTAAAACAGTGCTCTGCAGTTCCGCTTCACTTCCATTCATGCAGGTGATATATTTACGGAAGACGAGAACCAAATGCAAAAAACCCCAATCAGACAAAAATCATGCTACTTTAGATGACTTGACAGAGGAATTTGCTATTTCGAGCTCCCTACATACTGCAAATACCAGGATAAAATAACCTGTTCAGCACAGGGTAGTTTGAATACTTTTGCTGTTTATTGTAGTGACAACTGTTGCACGCAAATGAGACAAGGAAATATTTTATTCTTGTTTTCCCCCAGGTGACACCCGAGGAGATGGAGAGGATAACAGGGCAGACGGAAAAGCAGGTATCTCACTTATTTCTGGACTGTTTGACGAACACCTGGTTTCCCCCAAATGCCCGTTCTGAGCGCTGGTGCTCCCGGCAGCATCCCCCCAGCATCCCAGCAGCATCCTGGCAGCGGTTACTGGGTCCCGGAAGCGTTGTCACCCTCAAGGCCTCCGCTCTGGTCTGTCGGTGTCCCCCAAACCTGCAGCCATGCGACGAAAATTAAACGAGGTTGTGTCGCATTTGTTTCTGTGGAAATATGAAGTCAGTTTCTCCAGTTTCAATGGGATTTCCACCCCCTCCCCCCCTTTTTTTTTTAAACATTTACATTTTTATCAAATGTCAAGAATGGGAGACAGGAGACATTCGTGACAGGCGAACGGGGAGGGGATACCCCCCCTCGTCTGCCCGCTTCCCCTCCCTCCTTGCCCCATTTTTCCTTGCTGACTGCACCGGGGCAAGGAGGTG